TATTATATTATATTATAGTTAATGCTATTAATCTTTTTACATGATTGCACTTAATAGGGGTGTATTAATGTGAAAGGCAAAATATGAGTGACAAATTTTGTAACTTCTTTTGGAGGGAAAATAAATTAGGTTTTATTAATTAGGTTTTATTTATGAGGTTTTATTTAATGATTAGCTACCAATTATATATATAGATTAGTGGTAAAGTCTATATATTTGACCATCATATATCTCCTTATTTACCATATTGACATTAATGATTGACCATTAATTATTGAAGTTTGACTTGATCATCACCATTGATATGATGTATCTAATGGTTAATTCATCCTTACTAGTGTTGATACCCGTGCGATGCACGGGGTACATTATATAATATTTTTTATTTAAATATTATAAAATTATTTACGACAATATGAAATTATATTCTCCAAAATACTCTATCCAGTAATAATATGACATTTATTTATTTAATATTATTGTTATTATACATTTATATTGTATATTTTGACTATTTAATATATAAATTTATTATTTATAAGTTTATAAAATATTTTAAATGTATAAGATTATATGATATTTGCGTACAAATTAATTGTATGTACATATAAAATTGTTGTTTATCATAGTCTTGTAATTTTTTCAACAATTCATAATTTGCACATTGCGTGATAATTAACTAAAGTTTAACTCTTAATATTTATCTTTTGCTACAATTATTAAGTGCATTAAATGTTAAAAGCTTTGATAGATAAACTTTTAATCTTCAGTAACTTTAATCCTTATGCAACACACAAATTTTTAATGGTTAAATATTTTATTTTTGTGTTTTTATTTTTTATTTATATTTATTTTTTTAATTTATTTTTTCAATCTATATAATGAGTTACAGAATATCTATTGGAATATTTAAATATATTATGTATTTCCATAATTACCAAGTGCAATAATTTAAACTATTATACATTGCTATTTTATTATCTTTTTTTTCGTTTATAAAATAGTATATAAGAAAAACATATATTTTAAAAATTGAATAGTTTTTTAATGTACATAGATACTTTTGAGGTAAAATTTATAATTCTGAATTGCACTCGACCATCAAATTTTATTTTTATTAGTATATTATTTAAATTGTTCAATAGTATTATCACTGCATATGATATATTCAATGGGATGTACCTTTTTATAGTTAAATTGACTACAAAAAATTTTATTAATATTTTTAATCATTTATTAAGCTAGTATGATTTAAACATAGTTATTTTTGATTATTTTATTAAATATTTTAAGTGCTTCTGAATAGTGAATATAATTAATTAAATTAATATCTACAACTATATATGAAATATATTTAATCAAATTAATTTCCTTAATAATGTTTTGAATTGTGTCAATAAGTTACTATTAAATTAATATAAGATCTAAAAATATATCTAGTTATTGAGTGTATAAAAATTAATTATGTTTTTTTTTGCATTATATTTGCTAATAAATAAATATTAATTAAATGCCAAATATAGTCAAAAAACTTTCCCGCCCAAAATCATGCCAATTGTGGCAATAAGGATTCGTCCATTATATAGATATAGATTTCTTTCACTATCCACCATTCTCATATGATCCTAACTATATGTGTGTGTGTTTGTGTGTGTGTTTTTATTATTATTATAATCACAATCTTCTAAAGTAATCACATAATAAAATGTGATCTTTTAGCATTTTAACACATAAAAACATAAAATGCATGACACATTGGCTAATGAATAATGGGGTATCACATTATACATGTACTAGAATTCATAATAAATAAGTTGAGTAAATTAGTATTTATATTATTATTATTATGAATTTAAAAATAAGAATTTCATTGAAAAAAATATTTATATATTTATCGAACGTCTAAAAAAAGATAATATAATATAAAACCTAGATAAAAGAATAAATACTAATCATATATTGTTATTGAGTAAAAAATATTTTATTTGGAGACTACTTCAATAACATATTATAAATAGAAGTAAAAAAAAAAAAAAATATAAATAGAAGTACTATTTTATTTGTTTTAAATATATTAAATTTAACATAATTTAGTTACATTTATATATATTTATATTATATATTACTTCAATTCATTAAAATGGATTTTAATTTTTATGTTGAATTTTGTTTTATATGTATACTTTAAATTTATCTAAATGTAGCATCATTTTATTTTTATATTAAATAATAATATAATTTATTATTATTATTATGATTACACATTTATTCTTATTCAAATTTAGTTTTATTGTATTTTATTTTAATTATATTTTCTTATAGTTACTTTATTTTGTGATTATTTTATTTAGTTATTTTTTGTTTCATAAAGTTTTACTTAATGTTTGGGCCAGAGTTCGAACCCTGAGAGCAGCCGTATGCATCAATTTTGGCCCAGCAATGGATAGAAATTAAGGGGGCAAAATAGTACATTTCAATTTTAAATTAAATAAATATAAAGAAAATAAAAGATTATCGCAGTACGAGCATGTGTGACTCATACATACGCCGTCAAGTTGGACAAAGAGTGGAAAATAGTTCTACCATTGGAGATAGTAAATTTCAATTTTTAAATCAAAAAATATAGAAAAAATAAAAAATTATCGCAATATGAGCATGTGTAACGCACACACCGTCAAGTTGGACGGAGAGTAGAAAATAGTACTACCACTAGTTAAATATAGGGTGTTTCACAATCAAATTTCCTTAAATACAATAGGTACAATATATTTTACCCCATGTATAGTCATGTGTACACTACATCACAGAGCATATTCTACTTATTGTAGCATGGCTCTAAGTGTACCAACACTGAGTGTATTAACTTTTATTAATGTAATAATATCTTTATGAATGAATAATTGAATAAGATACGCAAAGTGGTAGTGGCAGCAGCAGTTGTAAAATTAAAATCTGAGACCAGTTTACTCTAAATTAACTCTTTCATATTTGCACATTTCAATCAATAAGTTTGAGAGAAATTGAGAGAGAGAGATATATAACAGCACCACAGGTTATTT